AACAATACACTGATAGACTAAGCTGGTAAAAGTCATGGTATACAATATATTTATTACAATACACTGATAGACTAAGCTGGTATATAAAGTCATGGTATACAATAACCAGTTTAGTCTATCAGTGTATTGTAATACATTGTATACCATGACTTTATACCAGTTTAGTCTATCAGGGTATTGTAATACATTGTATACCATGACTTTATACCACCTTAGTCTATCAGTGTATTGTAATATATTGTATACCATGACTTTATACCACCTTAGTCTATCAGTGTATTGTAATATATTGTATACCATGACTTTATACCAGCTTAGTCTATCAGTGTATTGTAATACATTGTATACCATGACTTTATACCAGCTTAGTCTATCAGTGTATTGTATTATATTGTATGTTATTGCTTTATTCCTCCTTGGTCTATCAGTGTATTGTAATATATTGTATACCATGACTTTATACCAGCTTAGTCTATCAGTGTATTGTAATACATTGTATACCATGACTTTATACCAGCTTAGTCTATCAGTGTATTGTAATACATTGTATACCATGACTTTATACCAGTTTAGTCTTCTAATGTATAAACTGAATAATTAATTACCTTTAGAACCTTCAATGCAAGAAACATTGTGGTATCTTTATGTTTATATGATATTCATGAGGATAGTTCAAAGTATAACTTCTTTGTTACTGAATTACAATAAGCACATGTGTGGTGTAGTTTAAAACTGAGAACTTTTAATGAAAGATTTTCGAATACTTCCATATTAATGCAATAAAGGATGTTTCTAATTAAACTTTGAACTAAGCCTACTTTATACTCATGATAACAGTAATAAAACAGTGTGGTGAATCTGAATAGGTTTTTTCAAAAAATTGTATTTTCTATCAAATAAATTGTTATACATAGAAACAAAAATTAATTAAAACAAAACTGATGTCTCACAACAGGGGCCATGCCAGAGCTTACTTGAAAGACTTAGAGTCAGTCAGGCCTAGTGCTATTCTGGGTATGTATAAAAGACACTGAAAGTGATGTGGAGAAACAAGTATATATATATATATATAAGCAATTTTTATAAGTATGTTTTTGTTATAGGTAGTCATGAATAAAGCAGCTGGTAAGAACATATTTTTACTGATTAAATACAAAACAATTTCGTTTGCACATTCAGTTATAAACAGCCATTAAAAATATTAGATATTAACAATAAAACCATGTTATTTAGTAATTTTGATACAGTTTAGATCCTCGTTGTGATAATGTGTACATGAAGTCAGCTTCTTGATCTTGTATCATTTGGGAGTTAGTGATAGTTCCTTTGGTAGAAATCCATATATAGGAGAGATGGATCTGTAGATCCTTGTTGTGATAATATGTACATGAAGTTTGCTTCTTGATCTTATATCATTTGGGAGTTAGTGGTAGCTCCTCTGGTAGAAATCCATATACAGGAGAGATGGATCTGTAGATCCTCATTGTGATAATGTGTACATGAAGTCAGCTTCTTGATCTTATATCATTTGGGAGTTGGTGATAGCTCCTCTGGTAGAAATCCATATACAGGAGAGATGGATCTGTAGATCCTCATTGTGATAATGTGTACATGAAGTCTGCTTCTTGATCTTATATCATTTGGGAGTTAGTGATAGTTCATGCTGTCAAAATAAACAGAAAATTTTCATAATCCTTTATTAACTTAATAATAATCTGTATCAGCTAATAAAATGTGTCTTTCATTTACAGTAAAATGTTTATATTTTTATTGCTAAATGACTCAACAAATTCACAGAAACATGGAGTTTTGGTAATTTACACAATTATTTTTAGACATTAAGGAACATTCTTTTTTTTTTGTTTTTGCTTTTTAGATATAATTCACTCGGGAGAATGTATGTCAGTCAAGGATGGAATCAAGCTGCCTACCCAAGGTAAGAAGACAAACTTGGTGAAAATATTTGTATGTAACAGTAGTGATTTTTGATGTTAACGTTGCAGTTCAAAGAGCCTTTTGCAGTCTTAGTTTCTAGTCACAAGAAATATTCATTTTTACACTATAAGGTTTACTGTTATTTCCCTGTGACAAGTTTGTGCTGTCAGAGCTTAGCTCTTATGTCATCACTGTTTAAGTTCTAAACACATCCGAGGTTGTTTTTTTTCTCTTCCACAGGGCTGTGTACTCGATGTGGGTATATCTCCAGCCAGGAAGTTTGTAAAGCATGTGTGATGCTGGAAGGGCTAAATAAAGGATTACCTAAGTAAGACTCTCACAATATTTCAAACATAAATTATTTTCAAAGTTTTATTCAGAATTTTACTAAGACTAGAAACATCAAAATTTAGTATCTTTGTAGAGAACAATTTAAAATGTTTGGATTAGAAACAAAGTTGTAGATGTATAATATAACAAATATATCTTCATGAAATCTGGCTAGCTTTTAGTAAACATAAGTCTGTTATATACCAAAAAATAAGGTTTTAAATAAAGTATTTCTTCTAAATGTTTGTCTGAATTTTTGAAGAGTTTTCTGAGTCAGTCAAAGTAAAAGTTGATTTGCATGATAAGAATAAAAATATCTTTTTTCATGTTAAAGTTTTTATATTTCATTTTCATATCCTCTAAAATCTACTAAATGAATATCAAAAATTTTTTTAACTATATTTTCTCTATCCTAACACTTAACTGTAATTGAAAGTATCAATATACAGAAGAAAAAATTTAAATATGAAATAAAATCAACAATAATTTTTTTTTCAAGAATGACTGCAGATTGTACCAGACATTTACAATTATTTATTGTAACAGCCTCAGCTATTTAACCTTTCATACCTATTTGATTTTGTTACTTTACAATGTCCTTTAACTTCTATCTAGTAATGTGACAGACAATTAACTAAAGCAGGAGAACTTAGTATGAGCAACTGATAAAGTTACAATCACATGACACAATTAGCTGGATCTGGTCTCATGAAATTTTTGATGTACTTTTTTGTTATCTAATCAAATAAGTTTCTAATTTTTATATTTAGTTAATTTGTTAAAAGAATATAACAATAAATAAAAAACAAGAAGTTTTGGACTTACATTAGAATTTAAACCTGTTTCAGTAATTCATAATCAAGAACTTACTTCCTTAGCACTTTGTACTATGGTTCTCATTAGTGCATTTTAGAACACAAGAAATATATCGGGCAATAGAACAGAATGTTTCAAAACCGGGTTTCTAACTTTACTATAAATAGGTTGAAAAATAATTGTCAGCTGCTCGGAACAGAAGCACACAATTACAAAGAATGAAAGTTAGGCTAAATATCTATTTATAGGTTTCAAAACAAAAGAACAGTACAAGGAATCTTGTATAGAAAAGGCTGCTCTTTCTCTTGGCTAGAAATAATCCAATAGCAATGTTAAAGAGAATTATTGAAAGACAGAATGACATGGCAGGGCTGGTCATGTGTGTGTTTGACATTTTTTTATATTTCAATAAAGCAAGAAGATTGCTCATAAAGTTTTTACTCAATCTGATTTCAATGCTTCACAAATCTGTTTTTCCCTATAATTATACATTTGATATTTGTTTTAAAACCATGTATTATATATAGTAGAATTCATTAATATATGTGAAACCTCCTTATATAACTTGATTGTATTCAGTTGACAGATTGATATACCTCATAAGACAACACAAAAATGTTATGTAAATAATTTTTAAAATGTGTTTGTAATATTGACTTACAGGTTGGGTATCGGAAAGAGCAGTAAAGTAAAGAGAAGGGTAAGTTTTTGGTGAATTTTTTATTGCACATTTGTATGAATTAAAATGTTGAAAGTAATAACTCTAAGTTTTATGTAAAATAATCATGCTTTGTATGAATTAGAGACAAAAGGATAACTAGTCTTATTTGACAAATTTATTGAGTATTAGTTTGTAAGGATGTTTTTTAGCTGTAGATCTATACTGTAACATGGATTATGTCTGTCTATAATGAAAATATTTCAATGTCCTAGGCCTCTGATCACCTTCAAACTGTCAGAGGTTCTTGAGTATGGTTCAAAGGGTTTCCAAAACCTTCTTTTTGAAATTCATTTTATAATTTTTCAGCAGTTTGACTTCCATTTCAATTTTCCACCTT